GTTAGCATTACCACTCCTTTCGATCATGTCCCTGGCTTCCTAATGGGGGTTGCACAAATTTAATTTATTTATTTTTGTTGTTTAGTAAGGTAAATTTATGAAGTGATATAGATAATATTCTCATGTTTAATCTTAAGTCCTTAAATTCTACACCGAGTGGCTATCACCATAGTGCACTGCCCCAACTGTTATCCCTGTAATGCAGTGCCCAGCAGTTAATACAGTAACACAGAACAACAGCAGTTATTACAGTAACACAGTGGCCCAGCAGTTATCTCAGTAAAACTGTTCCCTAGCAGCTATTACTGTAATGCAGTGGCCCAGAAGTTATCACCCAAATGCAGTGGCCCAGCAGTTATAACCGTAATATAGTGCCCCAGTTATTGCCATATTGCAGTGCATTGGCTATAACTGCATTGGCAGGGTTTCCAACTCCTTGAACAAGAAGATTGTAAAAATTTGAATTTTTTTTTTTAAAGGGCAGCATGCAAAGGGCAGCTTTGTCTGAGTCAGGAACAAGCAGTACAACGAAAGCCAACTTGTGTGAGGGGAGCTAACCTATGCCCTTTGCTTTTTTCCCTGCAGCTACACCTCCAGTGTGGTGAGCTAAAGCCTCCAGATTAAATAAACATAATGGCAGCTACATTACTGGTAGACTACAAACAAACAGTATGTTTGTAGGTCATGACTTGGCTAGTGTTGGCCCTGAGACAATAGAAAGTTTTTCTTCTGCTGCTGTGCTGTCAGTGCCTGGTCACCTTGCAGTGTGTGCTCCAGCAGGCACACCAGAGGGACTGCTTTGGTACTCCCTGCATTATTGTGGCTCACTATTCTTGTGGCCTCTTAGAATAGTGCCAAAATATTGCATGCATCCTGAATAAGGAGCCACTGTAACCACTGCAGCATGGCCATCCTAAAGTTTCAGTGTGTAAAAAAAAAACAGTGTGTATCAAATGGTTGGTGGGCAGTTTTGTGTTGATGCTGCATTTTGGCTAGGAGAACATTTGGTGGCACACTGTTCTGGCCTGCCACAGGATACCCTAAAAGCCACGTGCCTCTGAACCACCATATTTAGGACATTGACCAGCAAGGTACATGTGTTAACTTACACAGCCAAAGGGTGTCCAACAGGACAGCACAAGCTGGCATGGAGTCAGCCATGTCTCATCCTGCTTGTCCCTGCTTGACCCAGTTTGATTCCTGTCTCTGATGCATGCACCATGGCACCATTTTGCTTTGGATCTTGCATAGGCTTTAGGATGCTTGGGGGAGATTGGTAACCCCCAATCTCCCGAAAGCATCCTAAAGCCTATACATGAGGAGTGACCACCTGAGGAGAAATGGGGAGAGATGACCGCACTGTCACTGCCGCCAAGGTGCGGCACACAGCACCGCACCATCGGCTCCAGTGGTGTGCCCTGTGATGGTAGCTGCCATCACGTAGCTGCCAAAATACTGTAAGTCACCAACACTATACGCAGTTTTGATCCAATCGAACCATCACAAGAGCATGACAGCCTCACCCTGCAGAGAGATTTTCCAGCCCGCAGGACAACAATAAAAGCAGACTGAAAGCCATCGTCCCTGGGGTTGTTTTTTTTTGCAAACAAAATCAGCCACCACATGTTTTGATGGAAACATGCACTGTTCCCAGCAAATGCTGTGACTATTCAATGAACTTCATCAACTTCAGCCTGTGAACTTCATCAATGCCTGTGTCAGGGGAAGCAGGGGGTGTTACCTCTACTCGGGGACCACGGGCACGGGTTCCCCTTCAGCTCGGTAGAACACCTGGTGCCCGAGGTGCAGGTGCGCATGCGCAAGTCACGCGGCGTGGACGCATGCGCAGTACGCAGGCTGCGCGCGCATCCCCGGGAGTATAGCGTTCCTGCATGATCTGGCTATCAGGTGTGAGTCTTGCTGGGGGAGGTTCCCAGTACACACCTTCCATCTTCCTCGCCTGCCATTGGTTCCCGGGGAGGGAGGCCTCCTGGTTGTCTTGGTGACCAGGGGGTGGTCCTACCTCCCCTGGCTATAAAAACCTGGCCTGAGCTCTGGCTTATTGCTGAGTTATTCCACCTTATGGTGAACACCTAGCCTCCCTGCTGATCCTCCTATTGCCTGTTGCCCCTTTGTATCCTTCCCGATTACCGATCCTTGGACTGTCTTCCGCCTTTGAACCTTCGCTGCCTGCCTCGACCCGGATTGGACATTGACTACCCCTCTTGGATTATCCCTAAACTTGTACCGCATTTCTGGACTGTCAGCTGCTTACTGCCAGTGGGTTCCTCATCTCACTACTAGCTCCCTGGGACGTCTGACAGCCTGTCATAGTCCTTCAGACAGGACTATGACAGGTTTTACAATACAGTAGCAATCTTCACAAAGACAAGGATACTTTAAGTACTTATTTAGACCGTAGAGAAAAGCTTAGTAATTTTAAAAGATCTTTTTTTTAAAGGAAACAGTGCAAGAAAAATATACAGAATTAAGGTCATAGAAAAGAGAGACAAATATAAGAATAGTAAAATAAAAGGGAATAAAAATGAGAGTACTTAACAACTCCTGGTTTTTGTGAGTCCTAGTAGAGTCCAGACAATGAAACAGAAGAAAGATCTGGATAGGGCTCTTCCTCAAGTAAGGCTTGCAAAGGTTCCTTCTTGATTTTAAAGGGGAGTTCTTCTTTGATGGTACACAAGCCTCTTTTGATGTTACGACAAGAATTTCCTTGCTGCCTTCTGCAGCAGCTTTTTGTGGGCCCTCTAGAAGATGACTTTTCATTTGAGTTTTATGATAAAACTGGGCCAATTCACGCCAGCCATAAAGGAAGGCCTGAATACACAACTCTGTGGTAATTTGTGTGAATTGAAGCCTTGCAGAATCTCTTAAACAGACACATGTTTGATGGGTAAATTGAAGCTTTGAAGGCTGGTCGGATTTACTTATATCCAAAAGTGATGAACTTCAGTAAGTTGAATGAGACAAAGATGGAATGTTCTAATGAATATTGAGATGCCCTGCCTTGCATCCTTGCCAGTCACCATATTATTTGCCTAGTCTACTGTTAAGGTAATATACAGTTCCTTGCCCATACATGCTGGCTGACAGTGAGGTCCAGTGAAACGGATATATTGCCACTCCACATGCTGTTAGAGGGCAAAAATTGCTTTTTGGCCTAAAAAATTGTCTGGGTACCTATGTCAACCCCATCAGAGAATAGATTAATCTTTATTATCTTTATTATAATCTAAATTATTGTTTCATTTTTTGCTTTATTTACATTTTGCATTTGTTATGTTATTTAGAACAATATTTCAAGTTTTGCAGTTCCTACTAAGCACACCTGAAGTCTGTATCTTGAATATTTTGTAATTGGGGATATGGGTATGGGAGAAGGGGTTCAGGGAATGTGGGGTTGTGGTTTTGAAGTGTTTTAGTGCATTCTGTTGTGACATAAGTGGCTGTGACATGTGCCTAAGACCCCTTTCAGACAGGGGGGGTCCAGTCAGGTTCGCCTATCAGTTTCTCAGGCGGACCCGTTTGAATGTCTAATGTAAGTCTATGGGCAGCCAGATATAAATGGCCGGCCGTCCATTTACATGGAGTTTCCCCCGGCTACGGCCAGGTCCTGAAAAACAAAGGAACAGTGTTCTGTTTCGCCAGACCTCATCATGCTGGATCGGGGGTAATCTGATGTAAAAGAACACAATTCAGTTTGATTTCCTATAGACTAACATGGGGTTCGACCATTTAAATTTTTCCCTCCATCAGAACATGGAGGAAAAAACTTAACAGGCACGGATGTCACAGTAGTAAACGGATCCCCTCCTGATTGGACAGTGTGAAAGGGGCCTAAACATGCTGAAAAATCTACTAGAATGTTGAACTTTGGATAATGTAGCTAGGAGAATTGTAACTTCTCAATATTTTGCTGTGTTTTTGTTGCAAAAAATGTCAGTGAACCATGAGACTTTTGCATCAATAACCATGACATTTGAGTGGTCATGGGCTTTGAGAAGGATAATGTCTTGATCCCGGTATTTTAGCAGTCTAGCCAGCTTTAGGTGATTTCCAGGTGGGAGGGGCTAGTTTAGTGCTCTATGAGCCGGTTGTACGGCAAGTAATGGTTTAAGAGGAATCAAAAAAAGCCCTAAGCTTGTTTTAAATGTCATCTAGCTTTTCAGCATTAGATTTTTGCAAGGAACCGGTTTGCATCATTCTTAACAGGTCTTTAATATCACTTGTTCCTTCTAAGGCCAAATTATGATCCTTTATCGTTTGTATATCATCTTCATTTAAGTGTGTTTCACCCCTAGAGTGTTTTTCTCTCTTTCTGCATTGCATGTATAAATGCGTGTCTTCCAGTGTATTCACAGTTAGCAGAGTGTTCGCAGATGAACCTAATGCCGATGTGATCTAAGCTACAGACAGGTTTTGCTGGCATTCCTGCACCAGTACACATGTTGGCAGGTTTGAGGCAGTTTGCAGGACTTTTTTGGAGGCATTTGGGTAAAGTACTCCAGCTTAGAGACAGTTTCTTTCCCCATCACCCTTGCTGATTATGCACCTCCTTGTGTCCTCGTCCCATTTTGAGGAGGCCTCTCCATCTGACATGCCTGTTTATAATTTTTAGTATCACTTGGCAGCGATAGTATAGCTGGATGGGTAACGCCTGCAGAAGCTGAACTCGAAAGTGAGTTGAATTGGAGAATTTTTCCAAATCAGCTATTTTGTCCTAGATTGTTCACTTCTCCTGTCTTCTCTAAACCCTTCACCCTTTATTGAATAGCCCTCTATTCAATTATACTCTTCTGTGTGTTGCTGGTTTCTGAAGATCTAAACACACTAGGCTTAATTCACAAAGTAATAAGAATCGCTATATTCCATAACAATCTTAATTTTATAAAATCATGATCAATACTGTACGTGTGTTTTAATGTTAACATATTATGTCCTTGGGCCTTGTATTAAACTAAACGTTTTACAAATTCTAATTTTAGGATTTGATAATCCAGTTTTTTCATCTGATGAGGAGCAAAATATCCCTATGAAGTTTGCGCCATGGTTGTACAATGAAGATGCAGTAGTTCCATCTCAAAGAGCACAAGTCCAGATACCATATTCTCCAAACAACATCAGAAGGCTCACTCCATTACGTAGCAGCAACAGATCAGTTGATTCCTTTTTGATAGCAGATGGCGCAGAGGAGCAGCCCAGGTCATTTCTTCCAGAGACAAACATGTAATATTTGAGATTAAATCTTTTGTTTAAAACATATTGTTAGAGTGGAATTTCAAGCTTTAGCTTCTTACAAAATTGTTTTATATATGTATATATATATATTAATTATACACCCCAAATATACAAACAAAAATCCACAAATACAAGAGCTTAGAAATCATCAATATTAAATGTCCATCAGTCTATATAGCGAGTCCATCCACAATACTATGATGTAGGCAATAAAGCTTCTTCTTCCTTTTGCCCTTTGTCATAAAGCTGTACTAGGTACATTTGGATACACAATTCAAGAGGGAAAAAAAGTCGCAGAGCCCTTTCAGACGGGTGGCCCAAACAAGTCCACCTGTCTGTTTTTTAGGTAGACCTGATTGGTTGCCCAGTGTCTATGGGCAGCTGGATCTAAATGGATCAGTGTCTGTTTACATCCAGTTATCCCCAAGTCTGGCCAGGTCCAGAAAAACAAACGGATCACAGTTCCGTTTTGTCAGACGTGATTGTGCCTGATGTCTGTTTACATACAATTCTCCATAGGCCAACATGGGTCCTGTAATTGTAGTTTTTCCTCCATCACACGATGGAGGAAAAAATTGGGCGGACACAGATGACACAATGGTGACATCCATTCTGATCAGCAGAGAATCCATACATGCATCCCCTCCTGATCAGACTGTGTGAAAGGTAGACATGTGCACTGGAAAAAAATGTGTTTAGTTTCGTTTCGATTTGGATTTTGTGTTAGTTCGTTTTTCGGGACTCGGGTGTGAAAGTCAATTCGGATTCGGAATTCGGATTCTGACGTAATTCGTTAGCGGTAGATCGTTCGAACGTTCGTTGGCAGGGCAATATACGAAATGATACAAAAGGTCCTTGGCACACTTTTAAGGTAAGACAACACACACAAGACATATCTTTTACAAAGCAACTCAAAATTCCTAGTGTGTGCACCAAATCTAAGGTCCCACCATTTCGGATTCCTGTGCTATATACAGTATAGGGTTTCCTTCAGGTACTAATATTAATATGCCCTGTATGCATGTGAGATAGGAACCTTAAATTGTAAGCTCCTTGAGGGCAGGGACTAATGTTAATGTACAGTATGTAAAGCACTGCATAAATTGTTAGCGCTATATAAATACTTGTAATAAATAAATAGATTGAATAATAATTTAGAAATAACCAATGGAAGACAATTTCCCCCATGCTGTTTTCATAGTATTCCTTTGTATATACATTTGCTAGATAGATAGGTTGAAATGTTTATAGGACCTGGACAAATCGTTTTTTTCCCTTTTGCCTATGAAGCCTCAGAGTGGAAAATTAAGTTCTAAGTGGTTGCAATGATTAAATATGATTAATGATTACCTTTCTGAATACATAATTTGCACACATTTAAAACTGAATCACTAAAAATAATGAATATGTAATATTACGATTTCAGTATTTTGAGTGAAACAATTGGCAAAAATATGTAATACATGTGTTTCAGGTATTCCATTGTAAATCTCTTTTATAGTAGTTCATAGAGTATTTTGCGTTGGCTTATCTAAAAAAAAAAAGAAATTAAATGTCTAATTTTAAGCAGAGTTTGGGCAAATAGGTGTCAAGTATGGTCATGGATTCTGGACCCACCATAAGTAAACTTGATGGTGGTGTGCTTGAGGTAGAGTCTAAAGCTAGCCATACACATATCAAATTGCTACAGATTTTCTATGGTCAAATGGAAAAAGTGCAACAGATTGCTCCATCTAAGCTAAACTATGTGAATGGAGGAATCTCCCACTGGGCCAAGCTTCAATATCTTGCTAGTTGGCCCCGCTGGCTCTCAAAACACCTGAACAATTCCTGCATTCAATCAGACTGTTAAGGTATTTTGACAGCCAGCGGTTCCGACTGGCAAGATACTGAAGTTTGGCCCAGTGGGAGATTCCTCCATTCACATAGTCACATAGTTTAGCTTAGATGATGGAGGAATCTATTGCACTTTTTCCATCTGACCATCAAAAATCTGCAGGAAATTTATAGGTGTATGGCCAGCTTAAGTAGTGCCAAGTATTTGCCAGGTGGTGAGTGTTGCTGCAGGTAAGTTCCTACTTTGTGTCCCTGAAGCACCCTTGTGCAGGCTACTGCTAACCAGATATTGCTAACCAGATACTGTGAAGAAGACATTAGGATGCACAGGAGAAGGAGGGAAAGTTTCTTGTGCTGGAAACACAGGTGCAACAGGGAAAGCACTGGGTACACAGGAACAGCAGGGAATGTCTCTTGGAATGTACATGGCACAGGAATGCTGGCTCTCACTTTGAGTATACAGGGCAGCCAAGTGCACAGGCAGTAGTCTCTAAAGATGCTGGGAAGCTGTGGGGGCTCAACAGTTAATGTGCAGACACAGACAGCTCTGGAGACACTGGGTGACACAAGGATACAGAAGACACAGGGAGCACTTTGGATGCTAGGAAAACAGGAGTGAGAGACTCTTGCAGCACTGGGGTGCTGGGAACATAGATGCATATGAGCATGAGTCTCTTGCAGCACAGAGCTTCTGGATACACTGTAACTAGGGACTCTGGGAGCCAGGAAGAAATGAGCATAGGAACACTGGGAGTTTACTATGAGTACCTTGGGCACACAGGTGCAGGAATGATGGCAGCTCTTTAGAAGTTCATAATGGATACAGATACATTATGAACCTTCTAGGAGTATGCAAGACGTGGGTATGCCAATAGCTCTCCTGGAATACACAGGGAAGCTTAGGAGGCACAGGAACTAGGAAGAAGGAACTCCTCTGGAGTATGGAAAAATGGGGATCACTAGGAAGTTGGAACGTCTCTCAGGAACATTGTGGGTAGCTAGGAACTTAGAAATAAACTTCTCTCAGGAACACTAAGGATCACAAGGAATTGGGAATTGAAAGATGGATTAAGTGGAAAGGCAGATTGCCAATCAGGGAAAAGGGAAGGGTGGGGGAGTCTGGCTGTGTAGCTGATTACTTCAAATGGAACAGGTGGTGACGCCATTAGCTTCCAATTCAGTGCAACAACCAAACAGGAACTGACTATTATTCAATGGGACTACAAGTAACAGAACAGACACAGGAAACAGAACAGCATTGTATCTCATAGAAACCATAAGTTACAAATCAGCTTTCTAGATGATCTGTGACACTGGAAAGTCACACTTAACCTGTATCTATTGTGACTCATAAAAATGTAATGACTTAAGTGTCATTTCACAAAAATTATGTTTTAGTGAAAGATGCTTGGATAAATTGATGCCTCCTGATAACATCTGCATAATATAAACTATATAACAACTCCAACAAGTTTAGTGGCAACCCCTGATAATGGCCATAGCAGGTGTGCAGACCAACTCTCACCAATATTGTCCACAAATGATATAAACATTGTGGTTATTTAAATGCCCAATATTTTCCAAAAATAGAGATATCAGTTTTAAGTAGACTGAACCTAAAATTACAAAATAGCTTAGCTGTGTGGTAAATGATAAGGTATTTTTTTTAAAATCAGGAACCCAGACATGGGATGAGCATAGTTGCCAGTTTTAAATGTACATGTATCAGCACTGTGTTCCAATTTACTTTGTATTGTTAATTATGTATTATTTGCTAAACAGATGACTGTATCACTATTTAATATGCAAGCATGGAAATGTGAAGATTCTGAAATCCTGGTAACAAAACAAGATAAAATGCTTAAATATTATAGAACAAAATGTGTCCTTTTATCTTTGCCAACTTGCACTTCAAACTACTCATCACTAGAAACTAACTAAAAGAAAAGTCTAAAAGCATTACTGCTTTTTTTTTTTTGAACACCAAATACAATATTTTCCTGCTTGGGGAATGTCTGATGTGAATGAAACAAGTCATGTTATGCCTCAGCATCTGAACTTGGATCATGGATAGCAATACCATCTACTGAACTCAGATAGGTCATTTGTAGTAACAAATGCAAAATCAAATATCTGTTAACTCTTTCTAACCAGTGTGTTTAAAGAGTAGACACCCTTGTGTGTGCGTCAGTTAACTTCACAATACCACTATGATAATTTTTCTGACTGACATCAGCTCTGAGAACTTGGAACACACAGTTACTGCAAGGTTATTTAATGTTCTTACAGCAAGGAGTATTTTACTTTTGTACCAATAAAGTCATATTTGAGGTCATGAAGGGTTTAAAGTATATCTAAACCCATGAACAAAAATCTGAAATAATGTTTAGCTTTCCAAGCTACTGTATATATATATATGTGTGTGAACTGCACAATGACTCCTTTCTATGTAATGAAAATGAGAATGGGGGAGGGGGTTTGCAGTCCAAATCAGGAAGGCAGCCTAGGGTGACACAGCTCTTTCACAGATACAGTACAGTGAGTGAACAGAGTTACCCTAAGACAGCAAGTGTGTTACTGGCAGAATCAACAGATGAAAATAAAGGAAAGTAGCCTGAAAAATGAGAACTCGTGCAGCTATCACAGTCTAGGGACTGGCAAGCTGTAATATATTTAATTTTCTGGGTTGAGATATGCTTTATTTGGTAAAAATATAAAAATTTTAAGTTTTGTTTCATGTAATCTGGCTGGTGCATTAAACATTTTTTAAACAGAAGTATATGTATAGTGAACTTGTAACTAGGGTTGCACAGATACCAAGTGCAGTACTCGGTACAAGTACGAGTACATGTACCGATACTTTTGAGCTCCAAGACTAGACCAGAGCAAAATTCAAAAGTTAGGAGGCAGCTGTCATTTGTAAGGGGCACACATAGCTCCTGGGATTTGTACATCTCTGTTTTAATGTATGATTTTGTTTTTATAAATATAAATAAAGGGATGCACAGATACCTGCTGCTGTTGGGGCCCGGCCTCCTCCACCCCCTCCCCTGTCACCTCTGCCATGCCGCCCCGGTACAGTTGATACCCATGTAAGAGGCCCCCTAGGAAGGGACATTTCAGGACCGATCAGCTGTTCCAGGGCAGATCGGTTCTCCTGCACATGCGATGCCGATCTGCCCTGAAACAGATGACAAAGCGTTGGAATTCTTCACCTATTCCAC